GGAGATCTATATATATGTAAAAGCCTAAGCGACCATCTGACCGTTCAACTGTCCAACTGGTAGCTATGATGCACAGTGACCACCAGGGGGCAGATGCTCAATGCAAGAACTGCCGAGTTGCAGTGACTTGGCAGCTGCAGTTCTCAGGTGATACACCCAGAATCAGAGAGGAGGGAGCCCAATTCTGGGGTGCATCACCCGAGAACCGTGCTGTCACAATCCGGGACCTCTTGGGGGATGTTGGAGAGCCGGTTTTGGCCTGATCCCTGTAGGCCAGGCTGAGGGACCCCACTGGTGCACGATTCTGTACCCTGGGCCTCTAGTATGTATATAAGATCTTTGTTTAATGTCTTTCCGCTCTCCACCCCCCTTCCCTCTGAGAATCATCAGTCTGTTCCATTTCCAGGCCTCTAATTCTACTTTATTCACCAGTTTATTCTGTTCATTAGATTTCTTATTTGTTTATTTTGATTTTTAGATTCAATTGTTGATAGGCATGTATTTGTTGCCATTTTGTTCATATTTTTGATCTTTTTCTTCTGCTTCCTCTTCTTAAAGAGTACCCTTCAACATTTCATATAATACTGGTTTGGTGGTGATGAACTCCTTTAGCTTTTTCTTGTCTGTGAAGCTCTTTATCTGACCTTCAATTCTGAATGATAGCTTTGCTGGGTAGAGTAATCTTGGTTGTAGGTCCTTGCTCTTCATCACTTTGAATATTTCTTGCCACTCCCTTCTGGCCTGCATAGTTTCTGTTGAGAAATCAGCTGACAGTCATATGGGTGTTCCCTTATAGTTAACTAACTGCATTTCTCTTGTTGCTTTTAAGATTCTCTCTTTGTCTTTTGCCCTTGGTATTTAATTATGATGTGTCTTGGTGTGATCCTCTTTGGGTGCCTTTTTTGGGGGTTCTCTGTGCTTCCTAGACTTGTAAGTCTATTTTCTTCACCAGGAAGGGGAAGTTTTCTGTCATTATTTCTTCAAATAGATTTTCAATATCTTGCTCTCTCTCGTCTTCTAGCACCCCCATAATGCAAATGTTGGTACACTTGAAATTATCCCAGGGGCTCTTTACACTATCTTCATATTTTTGGATTCTTTTTTCTTTTTGCTCTTCTGGTTGGGTGTTTTTTACTTCCTCATATTTCAAATTGTTGATTTGATTCTCAGAAACTTCTACTCTACTGTTGAACCCCTGTATATCATTCTTTATTTCAGTCAGTGTATGCTTGATTCCTGACTGGTCCTTTTCCATTTTTTTAGAGGTTTCCAGAAGATTCTTGAGTAACCTTATAACTGTGGTTTTGAACTCTATATCAAGTAGTTTGCTTTCTTTCATTTCTTTCATTTGTGACATGTTTCTTTGTCTTCACATTTTGGCTGCTTCCCTGTGTTTGCTTCAATGTATTGGATAGAGCTGGTATGTCTCCTTGAGTTGGTAGAGTGGCCTTGTGTAGTAGGTGTTCTATAGGGCCCAGTGGCTCAGCCTTCCCTGATCTGGGAGGTCTAGGTGCACACCTTTGTGGGCTGTGATCACAGTCTTGTTGTAGTTGAGACTTAATTGCTGTTGGTGTCACTGGGAGGAATTGACCACCAGGCCAACTGACTGTGAGAACCAGTTGTGACTATATTGGGAGAGCTGCTGTGCAGGAGACACCCCTATGGAGCAGGGTTTGCTTCAGTGGGGCTTTGGTGCTCACTGAGTCTGCCCCTCGAGTGTGTCGCTTATGTAGAGTTATAATCTGGTATGGTGTGACACTGACCACTGGGTAGACTGGCTCTTTCATCTCCATGGAGGTGCAAAGTCAGCCACTTCCAGGGGCCACCCAGCAAGAGCTACAGAGAGATCTGCAGATTTCTTCTCTTTGTATAGGGTTTGGAAGTGCCCAGATGAGGCCCAGCTATGAAGCAAGGCAGGCTGGTGCTGGTGCCAGGTCTTGGACCTTTTATTGATAGGTTTGGGGCTCTCTGACGCAGCTGTAGCTTGTTTGAGAGATTTTAGCCTGAGAAAGGACAGGCCATTCATATGCAAAAGCTGCTGCACATAGCTTGGGTGGGGTTGTAAATTGGATGAGGTGGGGTCTTAAGGAATCACCAGGGTGGGGCAAACAGAAATGGCTGCCAGTCAGCCCTGTGACCAGGGAGGTCCCAGCATAGGAACAATGATGCCTGTGAGCACCTCTGGCTGGGAGAAAGCCACCCCCGAGTTCCTGCCCCGATGCCAGTCAATCCAGTTTTTCCTCATATATGTCTGTGTTCCCCAGAGCCTCACCCTGGTGTTGGAGCTCAGAGGAAGCAGGACCTTGTAAGTTCAGTTCGTGGTGCCGGCCTTGTAAGAGGATGGCTGGGTCTCCAGCAGCCTCTGTGTCACTGAGCCCCAATCTGCTCTGGTTTTTACAGCCCTTGGTTCTTACTGCTCATAGGGACTTCTATTCCCATCTCTGGGACCCTGGGCTATGGGTCTGGTGTGGGGCTGGGACTTTGTTCTCCTCCAGGCGGCCTCCACAGAGACAGTCTCCCTCCCAATTAAAAAAGTGGCACACATGGGTACCGGATCAACCAGTTTGCGCCTCTGGACCTCCTACCAGTCTCAGTGTGCTTTCTTCTTTACTTCTTTAGTTGTAGAACTTCCATTCAGACAGCTTTCCAGTGGTTTTGGATGATGGTTGTTCTGTATTTTAGTTGTAATTTCGATGTGGTTGTGGGAGGTGGCAAGTACAGGCATTTACCTACGCTACCCCTAACAAATATTTTTAATTGTAGAATTTCTATCTATCTTTCAGATCCTTGTAGTCTTCTCTAATTTCACTTCATTTGAACTTCCATAGTATATTGTATTTCTCTTGTGCTTGTCAAAATTTATCTTTTAGTTTCTGTGAACATTCCTTACTATTAGTTTCTGATCAAAAGTATTTTTCTTTTTTAGGGCAGGGATATTAAGTCAAATTCATCTTAAATAATTTACATGACCATATACTACCTACTACTTAATAAGCACCCAGCTTATAATTAATGAGTTAATTAAAAATTCTGAAAATCTCCACACTCCCAATTTTTAAAATAATGTACCAATTTTGCATTTAACTTGTTTTATACATGTTGTTTGCTTTTACTGTTTTCATGTGATACTTGGGGTTAGGGAAGAAATAGTTCCTTGAATTTGCAGATGAGTTGAATGAAACTTTTAAATAATGCAAAGTGTGAAATTTATTGTGAGACCCTGACAAAATCTGGAAGTTATGATGGGGAAGTGGGGAAGAAATTGACATGTCACCCTCATCATTACTGTTCTTGAACCTTCTATCCCAATTGCCAATTATGATTTTGGAGTGGAAACTATGTCATATTTCTTTGTATAATCTCTAGCATAGTTGTTTGCTCATAGTCAGTGCTATAAACATATGTATAAAATGAACATTGGAATGAATTTGACATTATTAGTTATTTCCTTTCATGCCTTAGTCACTCTTTCCTTTAATGGCTTTTTTTTCTAAGTGCTTTATTGCATTCATGTTGTCCTTCCATTCTCTTATATAAAACTCTTCTTTCAAGAAGCATTTGATGATCACATTAACTTAAAACATAAATGGCCAATAATAATTAATATTTTCTTCTTTTGTGGGATATGCAAAGTTTAGAACTCTTTTCAAATAAAAATTAAGGTAAATGAATTGTTATATGGGATGTTCATTCAAAATAAAGATGTTGGTTTACTTGACCTCATAGAGAAACATTTATAACTTGATTCCATAAAACAGTTTTGTAGTGCTTAGTGGAACCTATGAATAGGAACTTCTAGAGAAATTAGCTGAAGCTAGGCCTCTATATATCGTTGAAAATGTTCTAAGGATTTAAACTTAATGAGTAAAGATAGAATGAAGGTAGAAATAGTTTTTTGAGATAGATGGCTCTGAAGTGAGGCAATGGAACTAACATTATCAAAAGAAAAATTATTTTGGTACATAGGTTAAAATGGCTAGATTTGTGGGTTTTGTTTCTCTTTTGGGACTAGCAGAAACAATTCTAAGAAATCTTTGCTTTGCAATTGCTCTTCCAATGAAGAGTTTGCAATTGTTTTAATTTTTTCCCTGAAGTTACCTCACTGTAATAATTATTGAAAAAAGTAACTCCTGAATTTAAAATGCACTGTTTATTGTACTCCCTGCCCAGCATTTTTTTTTTCCTGGTAAAAGCTACCTCATTTTCTTTTTGGGAACAATCCTTCTTTCACTTTTGGTAAATATGTTTGGGGTAGAGCTGCTCTTACCCTCCCAAGTCATAGGGTGTGAGCATTTTATATGCCTGGCCAGTGATTGGTTCAGAAATGAACATATTATTTAAGCCAGGCCAATGAGGCTTGATCCTGAGGTCTTTGCTGGAATTACTGGGGGGAAAAAGCACTGTCTTTCTATTGTGATTCCTAACCTGGAGTTTCTGATAGTCCTATTTGCCCCTGAAGGGGGAGTACCTGCCTGAGAGATGGAGAGAGACCAACTCCTGATTACATTATTTTAGCCCTGAGTCCAGCTGTGTCAGACAGAAGCCAGGACTTTTCAGCTTAGCTACTTTGAGTTGGCTTATTGTCACTCACAGCTAAAAGTGTTCTAACAAATATGACCAGAGTTGCACAGTTGACTGCCCCGCTGATATGGTAGATGGATATATGTCATTTGGAGTACCATTATGATGTCTATTGATTTGTCCAATATGTGAGATTTATTTATTCCACTTTATTTTCTATGAGTGTGGATGGTATGATGAAAGTCATTACTGTTTAAACAAGAATAAGTTTTACTGAAATAATTTAGTATTGTCAAAGAATAGTAAAATGCAAATAAGATGATATGGCCAGATAAGTTCTAGACTTTGTTGTGTTATTTTGAAGATAGAACAAGTTTATGTACTTTTTTCCCTTGGGATAAAAATATAGTTTTCCTTTTTTGTAAATAAAATAAGTTGTAACTTGTTTATATTTTTTCACATTTGCTTGTCTATTGCAGTTTGATACTTTTGCACAACTTGGGCTGGAATTGGAGAAAATATTTTATTTGCCTATGCTCTGAAGAAATATCCTCTGCCTGTGACATTTTAATGCTAATCCTATTCATTAATATATAATTCTACTTAAGATTAACTTTAATGGATTTGCTTCAAATTAGAGATCTCACTAATTTGGAAAACACAAAAAGAAATGGATATTGTAATACATATTTTGCTGTTTTTCTGGAAAAAAGTAATCTCAATTTGGAAGAAAATGTATACAGTTATGCAAATTCTACTTGACTTTGGTAAATCACATTTAAATGTGCAATACTTTTAATTTATCTTTGTTATGTGGCCTTTAAGAGGTCTCCATTTTATTTTTGTTTGTTTTTTCATATTGTTTGAAATATCTATGTAAACACTAAGTTGATATTTGATCATCTCTCTTAAAAATGTGCTGGACCACAGTGGCTGGTGGGCTCAGTTGGTTGGAGCTTTGGATTCAATTCCTGGCCAGGTATATACCTAGGTTTTGGGTTCTGTTTTCAGGGCACATACAAAGGGCAACCAATTGATGTTCTCTCTCACATCTATGTTTCTCTCTCTCTCTCTCTCTCTCTCTCTCTTATCAATTGGTTTACCCTTGGTAAGGATAATAAAAATGTGCTGGACCATTTTATAGTAACATCTTATTGCTTAAAAAATTTAAAGAAAACCCTAACATTAAAATAAGATCCTAGATTTTCTTGTTCTTTCCCCTGCCATTCAGGAATGCCAGGGTGGAGCGAAAGTAGGCTTACAGTTGTTCATATGGAAAATAATGCAATAAATGATAAATAATAGAAGAATAAACTTTGTGTTTCACATATTACATATCACATATCACAACTGTAAACCTACTTTTGCCCCACCCTGTATATTTACTTGGAAAACATTAAGTGCTAAGATTTTAAATTTGCAGTGTTTTCTCCCTAATTCATGTAGATTACAGATATGTTCCTCAGATCTAAGAGCCACAAGGCTAAGTCTCTTGGATGTTGTTGTTTTCATTAGGAAATAATTGTGCTTAGAAGTTGGGATGCTAACTGATTGATGAAAGGAAGGTCCTTATTAGAACCATTTTAAGATTAAGAAAAAGTTGCAGAAACCTTAACCTTTAAGAATCCATCAGACAATAGCACATTTGGAATGGTGTGCACACTTGTTATATGGGTGGAATTTCTCAGAAGTGGTGGATTTTGAACTTTTCTTTTCCATCATTATGTAGCATTTCCTCTTTCCTCAAATGACCTCAAATTTTCAACCAGACCAAATAAAATTTAAAAATAGATAAAATTCCTAGGAAGAACTTGAGCCTCTCTTTTCTTTTTCCTATAACCCTTCTATATGATGGTCTTTCTCTTTTTCTGTCACCCACTGTCTATTTTCCCTACCCACACCTTCTCATACGGTAGTATCCCTGGGTAAATGAGTGTGGATGATATGTCATTACTGGTTAAGAAGTCAATACACTTTTATTATCATTATTTTGGGTTAAAATTTACATTTATATTAAAACAAGGAAAACAGTCTCACACAATTTTACAATTTGTCATTTTTACCTGCATATTTTTTAGTCTTGTCCATATATTTAAAAAAAAATATGATGATGGAAGGTAACTTGACTTTGGATGGTGGACACACAATGCAATAAATTTAATAAAAAATAAAATAATTTAATTGTAATCATAGTATAGATGTCATTGTGTGTACTTTGTCATTTAATATTAAATAATAAACATTTTCCACCACAAAGGGCTTGCCATGACCTGTACAAACACTTAGGTAAGCCCTGGTGTGTCTTACCTTCTTTGGGTGGGAGCTGCCATTCGAGCCTTGTTTTAGCTAGTCTTCTTTCTGATCTCCAGAAATATTCACAATATTCACAATATTCCCTTAGCCTCCAGCTCTTAGTGAGGGAAGACATAGTTTCTGTCTTTGATGGGAATGTATTCTAACATTTTACCAATAAGTATGAAGTTTTCTGTAGGATTTTTTCTCCATCTCTAGTATCTATTGAGATGTTCATACATTTTTAGTTCTTTAACCTTTGCCTATGTCTATGATGTTATTGGAAGATTTTTTGAATCATGCAGAATTACTGGGATTAAAATATACTTGTTCTTGGTAGATTTTCATTTACACTGCAGAATAAGTTAATATTTAAAGGATTTTTGCATATCTGTTCATAAATGAGATTAGTGTGTAATTTTCTCTTCTTATAGTAGCTTTATTTTGTTTTGGAGTCAAGGATATTCTAGCCTTTTAAAATGAGTTAGCAGTCACTTAGATATAGTGTGGAAGGAAGTCATGGTAATATCCCTCTTAAAGGCATGTAAGTTTAAACTCTAGGAGAAGAAATATTTTTATCTTTAAAGGATTTTGAAACATCAACCTAAGATAAGTATATTTTTTTTTTGGTGGGGGCAGGAGATTATTGGTGGGAGGGAAGTTGGGGATAGAGAAAATGTTGGTGAGTCCTGGAAGCTGCTCCATAGTCTGTCATAGCAGTGCAATTATTCTGGTGTTTATCTCTGAAGATAGTTTGGCAGACCTGAGAGGTAGTCAATTGGGAGTAAGAGGAGAGCAGGTTGATGACATTGGTTAGGGAAGGTACCATCAGAGACGTCTTAAAAGGGTTCTGCACCAAAATTGGAGCTAAACATGATCCGAGATTTTAAGTACATCCCAATTAGTCTATGTCCCTAATGTCCTTTAAAAGGAAAAAAGGATAGAGTGTCTCCTCAAGGTCCCACAATCATCCCTTTTGTTAAATTAAGCCATTTATGATGTCCTTCTTCCAAGTTTCTCATTGGAGATAATTTCAGTCAGATTTTTGTCTCTACAAAAAATCCGAGAAGTAGGTGTGGCTCCATATGTAATTTGTGTATAATCTCATTTCATTCTATAACACATAGTTCAACAAATCTTAGGAACTCTGAAGTTTGGGCTTTCTGAATATCTAGGCATTACTACTTATGCAATTCCTAACCAAAGAGGTACTTACCTTCTTCTGTCCTTTATCTGTTCTTTTCGAAGTATCACAATTGGATTCACAGTTTTTGAACCCCTATGATGTACCAGATACTGGATATTCAGAGACGATGTTCTTAAGGAGTTCAGTCTTCCCTTTCTATCCTTGTTCTCAGAGCACCTTTCCTTTTCTAGATAGCCAGGTGCTTTTTGCTTCTTTCTTTTTGCCTCTCTGTCAAAGTGGAGACTTTAAAGGAAATTTTGAGTTAAACCCAAGCTGCTTCTCTTGAGAAGAATTACTCCAGCTCTCTGAACATGGGCCTATTGTTTGTTTAGAACCCAGTGTTAATGAGGGCACAATGCTTGTCTTGATTCTTATATGGACCTATTAGTTTTGCTCTGTTCCATGGCCTTGGATCACTGCTCTGATGATTGATGCTTGCTACAGACCAGGTGAGAGGAGTTGGTTGACAAAAACAGTGGAAAACCCATGCAAATTGCATTCTTATCAGGTATCATCCCTGTTTAAAAAAGGCAAACCATAATTTAGGGCTACACTTTAAAACAAAATTATTACTGAAATAAGGTGTAAAGAAATGTGGAAAAGTAAGAGGAACTTAAAAAGCATTGTATGCAGTTTGTTTTCTGTTATCCATTAATTGGATAATTCTTAAGCTAGTTTTCTGCATGTTATTCAGTTTTCCTTTTAATATCTTTGGATGCAAGATTGAGCTTTGCTGGCCTTTCTTTCTTGTTCTTTGGGTGTAAGTGCCAGCTCTGGCAGCCCTCATGTCAGCACTGGCTCAAATGAAGGAGGGCTGAAGGCTCCTTTTGGAGATCCACTTCCCTGGTTGTTTTAATTTCTCACAGGGATAATTATTGAGTGGTGCTATATAGGATAGTATTTCCCTTGCAACAGAGTTCAGGAATTCTGCCCAGTAATCACTCCTACTCCTGCTGGATGAGTGTATCTGTGTGGAAAGACTGGTAACTGGCTCTAGGTATCTCCCTAAAACTGTATGTAGGACTTCGCCAGATTAACTCTGGGAAAGTCTTGCAGCCACCATGAATACTTTCCTCAGTGATCGTCAGCTTCATATGGTGAGAAACAGAATTTGTAGAGTTTAAAATTAGCTTATCATCTTATTCCAGGACACTCTCATATAGCTAGTCCTGTGAAACCAAAGGTATTTTTTTACATCCTCACCCAAGAATATGTTTATTGGTTTTAGAGAGAGGGGGGGAAGAAAAAGGAGAGAGAGAGAGAGAGAGAGAGAGAGAGAGAGAGAGAGAGAGAAAGAGAAAGAGAAAGAGAGAGAGAGACTGCCTCCTGTATGCACCGCAACTGGGGATCAAACCCTTAACCTAGTAACTGAACCCACAACCATTTGTTGTATGGGATGACACTCCAACCAACTTAGTCACCCAGCCATGGTGAGTGCAATGGTATTTTTTGTTTCCTTTTTTCATAGAGATATTAGAAGAATAATCGGGATATGAGTGATAAGGGCTCAGATTTAAAAAAAAAAATTGTTTGAACATTGCTATTGTGGCTATATCCATTCTGGTGAAAGACCGTGATTTACTGTTTGCTGGTATTCTGTAGAATGGAACTGTCAACAATCTGAGATACTCTGAAAAAGAAAATTGTGGATCTAACATTTCCTCAAATTTAGTTGCTTCTCTGGGTGGAAGGTAAGGCTTTTGAGACACAACAGTTTGTAGTTTTGACATCTTTTACCAAGGAAACACTGATTCACAACTAGTCAGTAGACAAAAATAAATGGTGAACTTGCATAGACCATATTTTAGAATTATCTTTATAGTTACAGTTTTTAAATTGGAAATCAATGGCTATAAGGTGGGATGGGGTTGTTAATTGTTTTTTAAAGAGTTCTTTTCTCTTACAAAAATAAAATAGATCAATTTTGAGTAGCTATCTAGACTACATTAGTTAAAATGAAACAAAACAGAAACTTCTGCTGAAGAACTTTGGGAATCATCAAAATGACTTTGCCTT